AAAGACATCCGCATCGGGAGACGTTCCTGAGCGACACCTGTGCTGCAGGAATGTTCTCAGACGCTCCAAGCGACGGTGCCCAGCGCCCTTGGCTGCCCTGCTGCCTGCCGCATTCAATCTAAATGGTGCCGAATCTCGCACTAGCGTGTTCCCGTGACGCGAGCTGCATCGACTCACCCGCCAATTAAAGCAAAAATCCTGCCGACTTGGCAGCAACTCACGTCGTCGAAAGTCGTCCTTGGGATGACGCGAGACTTGCTAATATGCTTGGCAGATAGGGTACCTGCCTGTTGTTGAAGAGCTTGTCGCGCGCGGATGAGATCTGCCGGTGGGTGCGGGTGATGATGATACCGATTGCAGACGGCATGGAACAGCAATCGTGAATCGTGGGTCGGCAACGCTGAACCAAGCCTTTACATATGTTGGAGGCGAAGCGGAGTAGGCAGAGCCAGCAAGCAAGGTCTTCCTCCCCTCCTTCGTACGGTGAAGTCGCGAATGCTGGCAGCACGGTCAGAAGGCGAGAATTGTGAGCGTGTATGCTTGGCCAGATCTTGCTCTTGCTCTTGTTCCCGGCTTGCTGCTTGCCGCATGGCTGTCCACAACCAAGGCCGCTTGACTCCTCTTTCGGGGCTGAGGCGCACAGGTCTCGGTAGCACCGTAGCAGATCTCTGACACACCCAGCTCCCGGTTCATCATACGATGTCACGAAATGGGCACATGAGGGACCGAATATGAGCAGATGTTGCGCACCGGTGCGGCTCCTCCAATTGCTCTCTTTATTCCGCCCCGAAACCGTTGTCGTGCCGGCATCACCCCTGCGAATCGCGAATATCAGGTCGCGCCTTGCTCAAATGAAACCATGCACATCAGTTTAAGGACTTAGCAATGGGATCGAGCTCGATCAAATATTACGAAAGCAGACCCAAAAATCGTAAACCAGGGCCAGGGTACACGATTCATAAATTCCGATCCGCTGCTGCGCTTATTTCGGCACCGTCATTTGGCGCTGGGTTCAGGTCACTCACCACTTTTTCGCCGAGACACTCATCTGGTGAATCTGCGAGCTGAATCAGCGCTTCGACATCAAAGCCAAATTGTGATTGAAAACGCTGGTCAGATCTCTCGGGGAGAATCCGTCATCACTTACACGCCACATATGTGAGCCTCTGCGAGCGATGTCGCCTTGGCAGTCGATGTTGCACCAACCTGTAATGCTAGGAGCAAGAGCGAGAGCTGACGTGGACTGCTGCGTAGCCACTTGTCCATACTAGTATGGTCTCAGGGGAGCGCGCCTACGGCCCAGAGTAGCAAGGTCAAGAGCGGTTCTAATTCTACCAATATAGCAATCAACGTAGCTTGCCTGGCTGCATGTCGATTCGGTCTGTCCTGTGTTCAGGAGGAGTCCTTGGCATGGCTATGGCTGATGCATGGCTTTCACTGATCACGCGATTCGTGCTTCGAAATCCATCCGGGCCGCAAGCAAGTCACGATGGAGTTGTTCGCACTGACGAGCGCGAACCATGAATCCAAACTCAGATTCAGAAGAGTCTACGCGTTGCTGCCATTCTGGATGTAGACCAAGCGCGAATGTGGTCCAGTCATGCATGCGCTCTAGTTCCTTCCTTGCCAGCAATACATGCCATGTATACGATTTGCTTGCTTGATGGTGTCGTGATGCGGGCATACGAATCACGTATGGTCGTGTGACCATGCACTTGCTGTCGCAAGTGTCTCGGGAACGCGGATTTCCGGTCAAGGCGATCGGCGCAGCTGCATAGAGATGAGAGGAGCAACCTGCGACCGGCACATACGGGCTTATTTACAGATACATGATGTATATGGATCGATCGATGGGCGACGGCAACGGTCGTGTACATCACCCGCTTTGACGAGCTTGAGATCTGTGGGCGCTGCAAGTCAAGGCAAGCAGGAAGACCCTCAGCATCATCGGCGCTGGAACAGCAGATGTGCTGCGATCGAGAAGCAATGATTCTGAGTCGCCATTATAGCGTGACTCACAGAGAGCGCGCATACCCTGGTCTCTGATCGTGTATGGATACACAAATGTGTAGATCGAACGCCCTATGCAGTAGGTCAGATCTCGAGTCTGACAGGTGCATATGCGCGTTAGGCGGTGCGCAGCTCAGCCGGCTGTTTCGTCTCGGCCTCTGCTTCCATCCCCTTGCGACCATCGTGATGATCGTGATGAGTGGATGGTCGCGGAGTCGGCTCGGTGAATGTCCTATGCTTGCCATGCAGCATAGTTTTCCGGCAAAACCAGCTTTCACAGCTTTCATAATATGGAACTCATGACTGCGGAAACGCCTAGCTGGTGCACTTCGCAGCTTTGCGGCGCAGTGAGCTGAGAACTCGCATGAATAAACAGCGGGAAACGGAAGCATATAATCAAACAATCACCAATGTTTTGCCGAGAGTCGACGCATAGGCTGAATGAGCATCGACGGTACCGAGGAAAACTTATGGCTGTGCTTTGCTTTGCTATGCAACCAATTCCACCATATGGAGAGCAGCTGCTGTGCGCTTCGAGAGCAGAACCTTGCGTCACCGTGCTCACAGCAAAACAGCACCAGCATGACCAGCACGTACAGCACGGAGCTCAGGCATCTGCATCTCCGGTGCTGTGCCTTGCCAATTCTTGCTCTGAGCGCCTGCGGAACCGCCGATCGGCACTGCTCTCGCATGAATGCAGGCAAGCAAACACCATGCAGCAACGACGCCCGTCGACAGCAGAGCTAGCGGGCGCATCGGTTCCGACATACAAGGCTAAAGGCTGGACGGGACCGTCGGCGCGTTCATGGGTAGGGTTCAAACACATGGAGGCGGCGAATGCCGTCTCGTGGCTTCACTCGGAATGCGCCATTCGGTGGCGGTTGGAAGCACTTGCGTCACTCAAGCGCCTTCGCCATGCAGAACCTCTGACCAGTCCGAATGAAGGCGCTACTGCGCATGTGAACTCGGCTTCGCGTTGAACGCGGCCTGGCTGAGATGCGGTTTTCGGAGCCCTTGCCAGCATTGGTGCCCCAGTCATTCCTGCACATTTCACTCACGCGATTTTGAATCCTTGGCGTAGCGTACATGCGGCATTTTTTGTGATGATATTACAAGCTCAGAATGCAGAAGTGGTCCTCATACTCTCTAGCTTTTTGTTCACCTCTGCCGGCGTGCGATCAAGCTCTTCGGCAATAGCCCGTTGTTTGGGCGGGGACAGCAAACCATAAGTCTCGCATAGGTCGCCATCCACCACGCCTTTCACGGGCGCATAGTAACCTCTGTACGCCAGGTGGTCCCTGCCTACTACGCTAGATGTGGCCTCTTGTCTGAGGTGCATCTCGAGCGTGCTAAGAGTATCGACATCCTCTTTCGCTACAAAGGGTATCAGAGCGCCGATCGTGCCCCCAAGACCAGTGTAGAGGATGACTTCCCTTCCTCCAGGCACAAGACTAACCTTGGTCAAGCTAGTGATGATCTCGTTCAGGTGGTAGTGCGCCACAAGCTGGCTCTTGTGAGGCGCGCCTTGCAGATATGGCTTCTCGTGGAGCACTGTCAGACCCGAGGCATCTTCATCCACGGACTTGCTGATGTCGGCGTCTATCCTTGAAATGAAAACATTGCCAAACTTGTCCGCGCCCGCAACAGTATCGTAATCGAGTAGTTGAGTGACTGTCATCCACCGTGGCACTGTATCGTCCGCAAAGATGAGCAAGCGATTTTCTGCGGGCTTGTAGGTGGCGTAGAAGACAGACTCCGCCTGATCGCTGACGATAATGCGAGAGCCTTGAGTCTCGAGCGACACGATCGAGGTGGAGAAGTTCTGCAGGGATGAAGCTGACATTCAGCACCAGCCTTGAAGCGCGATCCCACGAGCAGGTCCAACTCACCTTATTCTCGCACTTGCGCAAAAGCTTCTTCTTGCCGAGGTCATATATGCGCAGAGCTTTGCCCACGCCCGCGAGAAGCCTACCGCCAAACGACTTGAGCGCAAGTGGAATGTCGTCCACCTCAGTCTTCTGCAGTAATTCCAAGCCTCTGCCGTCGTCAATGAGCTTATAGACGCTCAGATAGGCTTGACCCACAGAGCGAGGACTGACGTGGACGTCGACACCGCTGCCAACAACCAAGTAGGGTTCTGCAGCTCCAAAGGGAACCAAAGCGGCGCTGAAGGCTGCTTCGTTACCCTCCAAATCGAGCTGGAATGTCGTCTTGAACCCTTCCACATCGACGACCCGAATGCAGCTGCTCCATTGCCCTGCTTCACCTCGCACAGGGCCGAACTCGGCGGCTGGAAGATCAATGACGCCCCTTTTGACCTTTCTGCTTGACGAACCGCTTGCCGCTAACCTCTGCTCCTGAGCCCATGGTGACAGTGTGCGATGATCCGCTTCGACCACGTAGAACAAAGTGGTTCTGCTTGGATGATTCACGAACCGGCGAGGGGTGTAGCTCAAGGGCAGGGTATCCGTTTTGAGCTTGGTGCCCAGCGTTGGGATTGTAAAGATCCGCAAACTGCCAGAAATGATACCGATGAGGCCTTGCGGGCACATTTCAGCAGAGAAAGACCAGGCATGATCGAGCGCTTCGAAGATTAGAGGGGTGAAGTGCGACCGACCCTGATGTGTGTACGAGAGCCAAGATCGGGAGCTGAGCGCTAGCACGGCAGTCTGAGTACCGTGAAGCTTGACTCGGACCAGCCGAACTGGCTTGGCACCCAGGAATCGTGTTCTTGTATCAGTCAATTGGCCAGAGATAGGGTCCAGCACCGTCCGAAGTAGCACACCGTTAGACAATCCGATATTGACAAAGAGAGTGGCGTGATTCCTGTCGATGACGGAATCTTCCATCTCTGCGATACAGATGCTGCTCGCCGGCGCAGTCAAAGCCTGGATCGAGATGCTTGCAAGCGTGCTGTCCGGGTCCAAAGAGACGACGCGCACAGTCTGATCGTCACACCCCACAGCCAGGTAAGGTGTTCTTTGCCTTCCTTCCGGCACGTCCGCAATGCTCAGCGTTAAAACTCTTGCGCCGACGCTCTTCCTTTCTTGATACTCGTTCAGCTGACCATCCATGTCAAGCTCAAAGTACACCAGCTCGTTGGTCGGCGCCAACGCCAACACCACCTGCCTCTGGTTCGTAGCAGCCGCGACGATCTGGGTGGGCCGGCCATTCGGAGCTGCGGGGGTTTCCCACTCCGTGACTTGCTTGTCAATCATGACGTGCCTGATGCCTCCAGGGTGGACTTGGAGGAGTGCATCGGTGCCCAGTTGCTGTACAGCCAAGGTGGGTGCGGAGGTCAAGAATCCGGAGTCACTCACTTCCTCGATGGTTTCGCCGATTGAGAGAACGAGCGTACCGTTGACGAAGGACAAGATGATGTAGGCATCGTACTGATCCTCAGCTTTTAGTTTGGTCGTCCAGACCGCGCCTGGCACTCCTGGCAAATCCGAGCTAATCGCTTCTTGCACCTCGAGACCGTACTGCAGCATCTTGAACGAGCTTCGCGGTCCCCTACCACAAGCAGCAATGATCTGAGGCGAGTCCGTCATGAGCGGGTTGAGCACCTTGGCGTCCAAGATAGGGTCCAGAGCTGAGATCTCGTCCGTTTGCATGAGATTCTCGAGCGGTCTCGGGATGAAGGTTGGAACCTCTGGTGCCTCGTCTCCTGCGCCAAGAGAGTCATAGTCCACGCTGGAGTACTCGGGCAGATCGTCGTCGTCTCCGAGCTTCTGGAACGAGTAAATGTAGCTTGGACCACTCTCCGATGCCACAAAGAGGAGACCTGCTCGCAGAATGACCAGCGATGCGGCAACTGGCACCGTGTCGAAGTACTTGATTTTGAGCGCCTGCATGTCTTCCCCGTCGTGCTCAATCGTGATCTTGAAGAGATCTCCATCCTCGTTTTGTACCAGGAAGAAGAAGCCGGTCTGCATGGCGCAGCCAAATAAGGTCAGTCCGCGAGCCGCGCTCGTGAGCTGTCCACGCACCGCCGATGTCCACTCACTTTCATCCTGTGACACACACTCGCAACGATGATGCTGCCGCGCTGTTCCGCATTGACGGGGTTCAATCGCTTTGGTATCGGGATACGATGCTCCTCCCCGACGCTGTGCTTGTAGGAGATGTAGTCCTCGGAGCAGACCAACACTCCGCTCGGACCCTCCCACCTCTCCGACGTTTGATTGTAGCCACCAGGCACAGCGATGAGATGCGATGCGGTGTGAGAGACTGGCGAGGTCCACCTTCGGACCACGTGATTCAGGCCCAAGTCGAGCTCGTAGTATGTAAAGAGCTGCGGCAGGGCGGATCAGCAGTCAACGAGGATTTTCCATGAATGAAGCAAGCACAACAGCCACATCTCGCCGCTCACCTTTTCAGTACTTTCATAAGCAGCGCCTGAGGCATCCCGATCGGCTTCTTCGTAGCCAATTTCCAGCGCCGCAAATACTGGATTCTCGTAGCCCACGTCCACACCGATGAGCGCATGGATGATCGCGCTATTCCTGTGCGCCTCGAGTGGACTGCTGATGGTCAGGTTGGCAGCTGCGTCCCGATTGAGGATGTACACCAGCTTGGCCTTCTCCAGGGCGCCAATCATCACCGCTCGGCCCTTGGGATCCACCGCCAGATACTGGCCGGGCACTATGCGGCGGGAACCTGATCTTCCGAATGTTTCGCAGTGCACCTGCACGAATTGAAGCGTCTTGATGTCCAATTCCAGCAGAGCTATGCGACCCGAATCAGAACCGACGATGAGATAGTCTATGCGGAAGGACGAAGCGTTAGCAAAGACAAGAACCCAGCCGCATCGTCCAAGCATACAGCCCACCCAAGCATACACTCACCTTTGCTACCGCCAGTCAGCCTGAAGCTGGCCAAGCTGCGCACGATGCCGAAGCATTCCTGCTCAGCCAAGCTCACGCTCCTTCCGCTGCTCGTGTCTGGTCTCAGGAGCTCCAGCCTGCTGCCGCCCCTACAGACCACAATCTCTTGCGTCCTTGTGCCGGAAAATTGTCCCACCACAGCAGCTGTGATGTTGCTGGGCGGAACGAGAGAGAGGTTGTAGAGATGCATGGTGCGGTGCAGGGCGATGCAGAGCGAGTCGGTCGCGAGATGCTCGAGGAGCGTCACCAGACACCACACTTGGGGCCAATCGGACACGAGGCCTGCGTATATGGTGCGGAGGTGAATAACGAGAGATGCGGGATGGCAATGGTGGCGGTGGGAAAGGTGCACCTGAGCTTGAGGAGTCGAGGGTCGGAATTTTGAATTTGAATGATCAAGAACACGAATGTTCTTGCGACGCGTCACGTGCTATGCAAGCAGAGGCGTGCTGTATGCCTATCAAAGTTGAATTTCTCTCCCCTGCGCGCCGTCGTGACACTTGACTCTGACTGCCTCCACCTTCTGCTGAGCACCAGCGGGTGGATGATCACAGCCCATCGACGCTCTTCCTCCAGCGCTCCCATGACTCACTGTGCGACCTGCTCCAAGCTCTTACCCACCAGCATCAGATTCCGCACTCAGTCAACCTCGCCCGTAGTCGCCGCGGTAGGCCGCCATGACAGACCAGAGTGAAGCAGGCCCGTCATCGCATTCCCAATCTAATCTAGCCAAGTCGCTCGTGGCTGAGCTCCTAGAGCCCACACGATCGGCGCGCAAAAGCTCTCTTGGCTCCAGACCTCACCCTTTCTCCGCGTCTGAGACTTTTCAAAGCCGCATAGATGGGCGCAAGTTTCAACTTGGCAACCCTGATCGACCTAGGCCCAAGGCGGAGAGGGGCAGTGTTGCGGCTAGGAAGCTGAAGCGGAGGGAAGACAGGCTTGTAAAGAGGGCAAAGAGGAGTGGACAAGGCTCTTTGCCTGTCAAGAGCAAAGACGCCAGAAGGGCGCTCAGCAGAAGCGAACGGCGACAGTTGGGGCTGGATGTGAGGAATGAGCAGCCAAGGTGAGTTTGGATACGCTTACAAGCAAAGGCGCCGTGCCTGTATGCGGATCGTGGCTCACCAACAAAAACGCTCTCGCAGCTACGAGTCCCTTTTGCCCACCCACTCGCTCTGGACGCAATACATCCAGTCGTTGCTGCAGCTGGTGGATGCTCAAGGTCGTCTCAATGCGGCGTCCTTTACCAACTTGAACAACACGGCAGAAGAGCCTCTGATGGTGAAGGACACCGCCATCGGACTCATGCAGCAGAACCTGACCAAAGCAGAGCTTGCGGGTGGCCTCGTCAGAGGTGAGAGATGCATCAATGGGCATGTATGCTATCATTTGCCCATCTGAATCGGCATTCTACCCGCAACTCAGTCAGCCGTTCTGCGAATCCAGCTCTAGTTGGTCTGAGCGGTATCATCGCCCGAGAGACGGAGCAGACTATCGTCATTGTCCCTCCACTGCCAGCGCCGGCCAACGGCAAGCCCTTTCGCCGACCAAAGCGAACAACCAAGGGTGAGCTCTTGGATTTCAGCATGTACGCTTGTGTGCAGACCCGCTTATAAGTTCTTCACTCACGAGTCTCGACCTCTATCTGGTACGGAATGCTCACGCAGTCATTCCTAAGCACGCCACGGACTTCGTTCTCTCCGTGCCACTCCCCAACACGGCCAACTCAGAAGCTGCAAGTGGAGATTCACAGTCGAGGACTCTGGACTTTACATTGCACGGCTCGCAGCTAAGGTACACGCTTCCGACTCGCGCCACGAGAAAGTGGAAGCATCGCCGCGTCGACGAGCTGTGAAAAGCATCGAAAGCTGTACTGTTTGCTGCCGCGAGTAAACGCCGATTCCAGTCTGTCGCGCAGTCCGTCTGGCAATCTCTGGGCCACGTAGGCGACCAAACCTTCGCTAGTCCCATTCGGGCTGCACAGGTCACTCAATCAAGTCGTCTGACCCTCTGTAAATGCGAAAAGGACCCTGGAACCTTTAATGCCATTCACGCAAGCTGCTCCAACGGGACTCTGCTCGCCTCGAATTGGTACCATCAAGAAGCCAGGCACGCCTCAGGTCTGCAAGGGCGAGACCAGGCATCGCGGGCTTGGCTTTACTCTGCACTTTGATCTGCGCTCATAAGGGCAGACACACGTGCGACTAACCCTGCTTTAGAGCTGGAGGATCAGACTCGATGCAGGCTGGACGTGGTACACATCACTCCTCCCCTTGCTTCGCGATTCAACCAGTTCACCACTGGATCGCATGTCGCACAAGCGCCTCTGCCGATTCGCAGAGCAACGACTTCATCTAGAGCTCCGCATCCCCTGCGCAATGAACGTAAATTGATATTTGGAGCAGCCTCGCACATCAGTGCCGCACTGAGGCCCGCGAGTCGCGATGTGCGATTCTTTCTCACATGCAACCATCGCCCTTCCGTTGATCTGGCTACGCATCATTCCAGGCACCCCGTACATGCTTACCCGGGTCCAGCAGCGCGTGCAGCAGGCCCTCGCACCCAAAAACCCGATTAGCTTCGCCAAGCCAGGTGCTTGCGTTGTGAATCTACCAGAGGTACAGGAGCAGGCCAAATCATGCTGGGATGCCAGCCGTCTCATGCGACGAAAGCTCTAGGCTGCGCAAACGGCTGCTCCACCTGTAGCCGCGCTGTGTTGCATCTCATCGGTTCTCCGTGCCTCGTTGAAAGTCCCTGGAAGTCGCAAGGAGGAATCGGAAGTCTGGAAGTCAAAGCCCGTCCCGTCTCATATAAAGTTCGGAAACCCCCTCTCTTGTTTTCTAGAAGCCGCTCTCGCCCTTGATCCCAGCTAGGCGACTTCGACCCTCACACCGCCTTGAAACGACGATCACTGATAACCGTTACTCCCGCCATGAAGCACTGCACTCTCTTCGCACTCATCGCTGCCGTTGCTCTCTTGGGCACGGTGAGCGCGTCATTCCCTTACAAGCGAAGTGCCGGAGCTGAGGTGCTGTTGCGTCGCGGTATCGACAGGAATGATGGTTCGATTCATCCGAACAGTAAGTCCTTACCTGACTTTATTGAGCAACGTACTGGAAACTGAGGTCAATCCCTCTTCGAACAGGGTTCACATTCGAGGGCGAGTACAAGAGCCCAGATGCAGTTGCGCTCGCTGCTGTGAAGATGTGCAACGACTTGCAGAAACCCGGCATCGAGCTCGATCGTCACCTCACTTTCCTACTTGCTCCCTCGGTCGACATGGCTAAGCGTACGATCGACTTCTTCTGCAGCAGCTGGAACGACCAGAGGTGAGTAATGGTGGCATGCATATTGCTCAAAAGGAAGCCAAGCGCCCTGCCGTCCCTCGAGCTGATGTAGGCTTCGCACCCATGGTCGCAGTAATTATTATGACGATAGCTTCAACGTGGGTATTTGTAGTCGCAATTGGGGGCTAGAGATTGTTGCTGACGTACGATCGTCTCGCTCTCTAGGCCGGAAGATTTCTGGGTTGGAATGGACCCTTGCCCAATGTCGTTGGCAACATCGGCAGGTATACGCACAAGGTCCAAGGTGAGCACCTAGCGCTTCCCAGGAATTCATGTCACGTCTGCAACATCGCTCACGCTGTGTGCCCTGGGGACAGCTTGGAAAGCACCAAAGGGCAAGCACCTCGACGACTCGTACGACATCGGACAAGCATGGACCAAAGCCTGCGCTGCTGCCGCCAAAGCCCACAACGGATTCATCCTCAGCATGCCAGACATCAAGTTCCCGCTCAACACGCCGGACAAGGGTAATTACGACAGAATGCTGCTTCTGTGCGAGGTCACCAACGAGGAAGCCGGTCTCGATCCCAAGTGAGTGGCCGCTTTCCAATCAACGTGGTGCCAAACCCGCAAAATCTGATCGCATCTCTCGTTCGATGGCCTCCCGCAGACAAGTGATCGATGCTACGAAGGAGGTGAGCGCTTTCGTGTGTTCGGCACAAAGATCAATGCATATGAACGAACCTCATCAACGCTCTGTGTTCCTGCTCTGGTCATCAGGCAGCC